CACTAGGGTCCTGAGATAGGTAATTGGTATGGTATGTACAATAAAATGAACAATGTTTGAGCCAATGGGCTTGTAACCATTTTACTCCCCTGATTTGTTGTGTGGAAAGCAGTAAAATTAGGTTTTGTTTTGGTTGCAACATGTACTCACAAAATATTGGGTGTTGTGAAATGCAAACAACTTTTTGGAGACTGATGGTGTCAGTTATTTGTTCAGGAGATAGGCTTATAGTCCTGCAGACTATTTCTTTCTCTTATAGCTCCTTGACTGTTTACACTAGTCACCACTTAGTGGTCTTTGTTGATTCAGGACCGCCTCCGTGGTCTTGTGGTAGAGCGTCCGCCCAGAAAGCGGAAGGTCCGGAGTTCGATCCCTGGCCGCGTCATACCAAAAGACGTTAAAAGATGGCACTTGTTACCCTGTCTGGCGCTCGGCATTAAGGGGCTAAAGCAAGGACTGGTCGGCTCGGAGTCAGTATACTGTTTCTAAGTGGGGTATTCATGTTAAACTGCGGCATGGTATCTCAGTGAGCTAGCACTATAAATCGGCACCAGTCCGGACTAGTACAAGCAACCACACACACACGTGCATGCATGTCGCTATATAAGTGCAATAATCTTGGACACAGCTTTTAACCCCATTTTACCTCACCTCACATGGTTTGGTTTGTCCGTTGGTTAACTTGTACAACTCCTGCAGGCTGTATGACTACATACACTATTGCGGTAAGACTTTTCTGCCTGTTTAGTGGAAATGTCTGCGCTGGTTTTTCATGGTCAACTTCAATCTCATTAAAATCAGATCTTAGTTCTCGCTACCGCTAAACAAAGATATGAGGACATCCCATTACGGGTCACGTCAGACCGACCTTGCGCGAACTTTGACCGACCAATGGAATGACCAATCAGGAGGAATCTTTCTCGTGCTTTAAGGCACTAATTTCAAATTGACGACTACGTTTCGAAACCTATTTTGACAAATTCTCTATTACAAATTTGAAAGCTAAACAAAAGAACATTCTGGAATGGCTAATAGATGGTCTAGATTGTATGGATTCAGACGTTAAACCCATAACTATCGTTTGGAATACCCCGTATTAAAATTTTCGAAATTGCATGATTAGAAATCACATTCCGACTGTCACTTTCATAATCTGGTAAGCGACGCTCTGATTGGTCGGATGAAAGGTCGTTCTGACGTCACCCCTAATGGGATGTCCTCAGATCTTTGTTTAGCGGTAGCGAGAACTAAGGTCTGATTTAAATGAGATTGTGGTCAACTTGTTAGTACTAGCTTCATCGTGTTTATGCTACTGTTGTCTCATAACCTGCAAAGGTTGTGGCACTAATTGACTGGTATTGTAGGAGACATGTTGAAGCCAGTCTTACATTTGTTATAATTTAGACATACAGTTTTTGCGTGCGACGAATAGCTTCAGGATGCCGTCATATTATGAGTGGTTATCTCCCTTGGATTGACCACACATACAGTAAAGTTGGTTTCTCAAATGCCTTGGTCGATGATGAGAAAATAGTCAGTTGAAAAATTTCTGGGATCTGAGGCAATAGATTCCATGGATATCACTATGTGTTTTTTGACAGATTATTTACAGACCGCCTTCATATAGCTTGAATATTGCTGAGTGCGGCGTTAAACAACAAACAAACAAACAAACAAACAAACATGTGTATGAGGGGTGGTTTGGTAGCCCACTGGTAACAGTGATTGTTCGTCATGGTGACGTGCTATTGTCGGAATGTTGCTGAAAGCAGCATTGCACCCAATTCACTCATATATACGTGATATGTTCCAGCAGTTCTACGAAGGAACCATAAACCCCACGCCATCATTAGGGACAACCAAGGCAATGGGACAATTTTGAGCTAATTGGCTCTATCGACCTTGCATGATTTAGTGGGAGTCATGATGTAAACATCAATCACATTGAAACATTAGTTATTCCGGTGAACTAAAATATGCCATGGAAAAGATCCACTGTTTTTATAGGAGTAGGTGGTTGGAAGTGAGGGGTACTGTATTTGATGTAATAAGCGCCCAGCTCTAATAAGCACCCACAGCGATATTTGCTAACATATTGGCGAGTGAACAATCCTCATTAGCACCCCTTCCGATTGATCAATGTACACAAGACTTATTTATTGGCGTAAAATGCTCATTCGAGTGTAATATGCACCCATAATTATGGGCAATTAAATTCTGGAAAAATATATCTGTCGTATATAAACATTCACGCTGTCAGCATAAACCCCGAAATTTATCTTTCAACTCTGTTTTTTATCACCAAAATATTTTTCTAATAGGAGCGCCCTATTTCTAATTTTGAGAGTACCCTGGGCGCTTATTACGTCGAATACGGTATATTAATTGGTCTCTTCACACAGTGATTCCCTTGCCAATGCTGAAGGACAAACTGTCTAAAGGAGTGGCATCTGTAATGAAGAATATTTTCGTGGGAGGGGAAACTAGCGCTTATGAATTTGCAGAAAAACTATCAAAATTCATTTTGAGCTGTATATATAAGTTGATTTGATTTTGAAGTGTTTGGGGATCTATTTGGATTTATTTGGATTTTCCCTGTCTTTCATTGTTTTTTGGCCTGAAACTGCAAAATATTCCCCAATAAAGATAGTGTTATATTTGCAAATTATGTAAAAGCATCGATCATGTGTGGTTTACTTGGAAGAGCTTAAATTGTCCACCCCCTTTGTTCATAATGGTCTCATTAATACTTAGTGTTGGATTGAGGGGCCTCTGGAACAATTTGTCCACTTACATTATGGAAGGTCTCCCGAAATTGCTGGAAGGAGTACATATGATCAATATTTTTTTTCAAAAGCAGCAACAAAAAATTGTTTGTTTTAGAAAATGTGAACCATTTTTCCTAATTTTGTCCCATTATGCCCCATTTGGGCCCTTGAGGTTAGATTTCCAATGTGGGTAAAGTTGGAGAATCCCATAATGGCAGTGATGTGGTTTGAGGAGTGCTGAAAGCGTAATAAGACCCCACTCACTCACTCACTCACTCACTCACTCACTCACTCACTCACTCACTCACTGTAACCAGCGGGGCATGGGGGGCCCACATGTCTAAGGCACTGCAAGACACTGAGCAGAGTTGTGTCCCTTGGTCGTGACATAAAAGTATGAATATGGGTTCGAATCCCGATTCAGCTCGATTATGTTTCTGGGTTTGTAGCACCCAACCCATACTCGTGGGTTTCACTAAAGTGGTAAACCACTGAAACCTGCATCCCTGATATCGTTTTCAAAGCAGCGTTAAAACCCACCTCACTCACTCACTCTGACAGGCACTGAATAACATGAATAAAATGGTACACCACTACATGTGTGTTTGACCATTGGTAGTATCCATGTCGTCAGTTGAGTATCACGTTGCCAATCTGCGTGCATGTCTACGAATGCTAGAAATGGCATCCAAACCTCCATCAGTTGTAGGGCTGTAAATAATCTCGGATGTGCTAGCCAGAGCCTTGTGACACACTGTAGAGGCTAGCCTTTATCTCTATGTCTCCTACAGCAGGTTCCATGAGGGGCGGTCGGGTAGCCTAGTGGTTAAAGCGTTCGCTCGTCACGCCGAAAACCCGGGTTCGATTCCCGATATTGGTACAATGTGTGAAGCCCATTTGTGGTGTCCCCGCCATGATATTGCTGGAATATTGCTAAAAGAGGCATTAAACCATACGTACTACTACTCATGTTCCATGAAATACCTACTTCCAATGCTACAGTTGGATTTCATTGTCAGTTGGCACCAAAAACATTTGAATCTACCGATCCACTCTTCTGTCCTGCATTGTTTGCAGTAGATTTTACTCTTAGAATGTGGTCTGTTATAATCTATACACACTAGACTCGGGTCATGGACTTGTGGCAAGACAAACATCGGATCTCTTAGAATGTGGTCTGTTATAATCTATACACACTAGACTCGGGTCATGGACTTGTGGCAAGACAAACATCGGATCTCTTAGAATGTGGTCTGTTATAATCTATACACACTAGACTCGGGTCATGGACTTGTGGCAAGACAAACATCGGATCTCTGAAATGAAAATATTTCACAGAAAGGTCTTAGAATATTTTCTAAAAAAAAATATAGTAAGAAGGTGCCAAGAGACTCTTCTTTTTCAGAACCTGCAGTAACCTAGACTTGCCAACTATTATAGACTTGCATGGGCTGTACATATTTGTTTCTGGGTCTGGATGACAAGTTAACTAGTCGCAGACTGCATCACACTGCTGGGTTACTTAGCAAGGGAGATAATTCAAAAAATACTTTGGTAGACATATGACACTGCGTCAGACAGGTTACAGGTTACACACAACCAAATGCTTTCCCAAAGACTTCTATAGTAACGTTACATTTTTTTTTAAATAACTAAGCATTCAACAGCTATTACCTGTGCGTGTATGCACAGTTTGGCCTTAGAGCAGCAATAAAAACAAAAAAAGTGACTAGCTTAGCCAGCTCCTTTTCCCCAGTACAGGAAGCTAAACACACCACCCCCAGTTTCGCACCAAATGTCACTCACTCATGATGATGATGGAGGTATCATAAGACGGCTGGTATAGAAATGCAAGTGTCATCTACATCATTTTAATATTTGTTTATTTCATTACGCATGATCAGATATAAATAATTGTCTTGTCTGAATAGGATGCCATTCCTTGAGGCAGTATTGGTCGTGCGTTCACAACTGCTCTTGGAGGTGATATTATGATAGTGCTCCTTGCTTATGTGTGTTTCTTCTTCCTGACAGTGTATTATAGTGAGTGAGTGAGTGAGTTAAAGCTTTACGTCACATCGGCAATATTTCAGCCATATCGTGACGAGTGTATTATAAAAAAAGTGAAAATAGAATATATGGGGTTCTTCTCACAGGTTTGTATGCTTAAGACATTGTTTCAATTTTCGCACTTTTCAACATTTCTGACATTCTTTCTGCCTTGTTTTTCAGCATTTCCGACTGGCACTGACAGATTTAAACGAATGTTCTCTTGAGAAGGTTGAAAGTAAGTATTATTTCAATTCATGACTTTGATTATAATATTATATCCAAGTATTGGCATTATGGCTGTGTCAATTTTGATATGAAATGAAAATGAAAATGGAGATTACTTATATGATGCATGAAATATGATAGGATACTTTCTAATCATTTTATAATTTTAATGTACCGTATTTGACGTAATAAGTGCCCAGGGTGCTCTCAAAATTAGAAATAGGGGGCTCTTATTAGAATAATATTTTGGTTTAAAAAAAAGACAGAGTTGAAAGATAAATTTCGTGGATTATGCTGACGGCCTGAAATGTTTATGTACGACAGATATATTTTTCCAGAATTTAATTGCCCATAATTAAGGGTGCATATAACACGCGCATGCTTATTATACGCGAATGCTTATAAATAAGTCTTGTGTACATTGATCGATCGGAAGTGGTGCTAATTGGGATTTTCACCAGCCAATATATTAGCAAATATCGCTGTGGGCGCTTATTAGAGCGGGGCGCTTATTGCGTCGAATACGGTAAATATGATAGGGTCATGTATTGATTAGGTCAGAGTTTTTCTGCACAACTGCAAAAAACATACAGACACATTATCTTCCTGCAGTGGTGATGGTTTGAAACCACAACAGAAGGCCAGAATCAAGTCCTTAACAAAGCAAAACCATTAAATTAATATTTTCCGCTGTTTGATAATGAAATCAGCAAAGAAGTAGTTGTCCTCATCATCCTTAGTAGCAACACACATGGCACAAAGCCTTTATTATTCAGTAAACTGGTTAGCTGATTTGATCTCAAATTCATCATGGTGGTAAAATTATTAATTGCCCCAGGCCACAACAATTGATTTCTTGCTCGTCCCAATTGCTGCCTGTGTTTTGTCCCAAAGAAAGTATCACAGATGTATTTATATGAATGGCAGGTTTCTCTTTTAAGCCTCTAATTATCTGCTCTTAAACCCATTTGACTAAACGTCTCTAATCTCTAGGAACTCATAACTTTTGTTTCATGGTAACATTGGATAAAAGAATGTATCTAGATATTTTTTGATTACCCTATTCGACATAATAAGCGCCCCGCTCTAATAAGCGCCCACAGCGATATTTGCTAATATATTGGCCAATGAACAATCCCAATTAGCACCCTTTCCGATTGATCAATGTACACAAGACTTATTTATTCACGTATAATATGCACTTGTGTGTTATATGCACCCCTAATTAATGGCAATTAAATTCTGAAAAAATATATCTGTCGTACATAAACATTTCAGGCTGTCAGCATAAACCACGAAATTAATCTTTCAACTCTGTTTTTTTCCACCAAAATAATATTCTAATAAGAGCCCCCTATTTCTAATATTGAGAGCGCCCTGGGCGCTTATTACATTGAATACGGTAATTTTTTTCTCTCACAAAAATGAATATTGTCACTTGGTTCCTCGTTTTGGGATGAAATTCTAATGAAGGATAAATTACTTTGTTTTGGCCTCGTCCTGTGAAATAAGCATTGCTGCTATAAAACAGTCGAGCAGGCCTCTCTGAAATTGGAGACTATTGTTCATTAGTTATAATAGCAAGGAGCTTTCGAAAGCTGAAAACCTGAAAAGCATTGTGCCTCCGGGCTGTGGTATAAAAAAGCCCGGGGAGATTTATCGGGGAATACGGTTGGGTTTGTATTGGACAGACAGATGGATGAGCAGATGGATAGAGAGAAGAAATAAGTCTGAGACAGGTGTTAGGCATGTGTTTGATTCGGCTGGGGGAGGAAATCGATTGTTTTGGTCGTGTTTGAGTTATCATGGGCTCTATACTCAGTGAGAATTGTTAGATGTCAGCAGGGGTTGTATTCATTGGTGCTATTATCATGATTTACTGGACACGGACCAGTGTGGTTGATGTAGGAGGTACTTGTCCTCTTTTGTCCAACCACAAAGGTCAACTTCGGGTGATATTGGGTGGATTTTTTAAATCCTTTAATTATTGGTCATGTATCTTATTTGGTAGTGTGATTGTTGGGAAGATGTTTGAAGGTTGTGTTTGAAGATTTTTATTAATGTTATAATTTGAAACAGCATTAGATACTATCAGGTTTAGTCCACTAGTCCTTATGATGATAACATATAGCAAAACCCTGAAAAGGGCCAGTTTCTACTAGTCCCTATGATGCCTTAAATATTGGGCCAGTAGTTTGGCCAGGACTATAGGACCAGTGTCAATTTCTAACGTTGTTATATTCTTTTATTTTAAAGAAAATACTTACGTTTGCTGCTCCAGTTTTATCTGAAATAAATAATGGATTGAAATGAGACATTTTTATTTTAAATATGAGATCAGATATTCAGGAAGTTTCAATCCTTTATTAGTGTCTATCCCCATGAAATATTAAAAAAATACACTCAAAATTGCCACAAGTTTAGTATTGTGCAGCGGTAGAAACTAGCGGTTGTTGGGAAGATGTTTGAAATTTGTGTTTGAAGGTTTTTATTAATGTTATTATTTTATACAGCATTAGATACTATCAGGTTTTGTCCACTAGTCCTTATGATGTTAACATATAGCAAAACCTTTAAAAATGGCAAATTTCTACTAGTCCTTATGATACCTATACTATTGGGCAGTTTGGCAAGGACTACAGGACCAGTGCCAATTTCTAACGCTGTTGTGATACGTAACGTATCATGAACAAAGTATCGCAATACTTATTGGGAGATAATTGTGACACTCCTTATAATATAGTACAGCACCCTGCCATGTCCAACCCAGGTGTGGCCTGGTGACTTCCAGACACACTGATGATTACAGAGGGGATGGGCAAGGCTGCCTGTTTTGAAAAGCTGTAAGCTGCTGACTTCAGACCATCCTTAGTGGAGGAAGAGACTGTGGAAAATAGTCCCCTTTGATCACTATCAAATTCAGAAGTAATGTCTCCAAGCTGTGATCTTTTGTGTGCAGTGTTATTGAAGACCTCATTTCTTTGGTGCAGCAGAGGTGTAGGTTTAAGTTTGCTTTTTGCCTTTCGGAAAGTGCAGAGTTTATTGCCTGTGCTGTTGTGTTTGGGGATTTTAATATTCAATATTAGGCCTTTTATGGCGGAAACGAAACATTATTATTAGCTGTTTTAGATTTCATTGCACTTTTTGTGGTACGAATCGACTGATCTGTTGATGAACAGCACAATAGCTATTGCTAGATAATTGTTCAGATCCTTATCTCAACACTCCTGGTTGTATTCGTTTAAAATTTAATTGTTTCAGTGTAAAATTGCCCTGCTTGGTTCAGAGTTATTCCCCTTAGTTTGTAGAGAGTTTAGTGTGTGTATTATTTATTTTCCCAAGGGATTGCTTTCAAAACTGTCAAAATGACATGGCAAGGCAGACTGGTGTTAATTTTGGCTGATAAGGTCATCGATACACCTTATACTAGATAGCTTGGGACTTTTGAGTACCATATTTTCTTGAGTATAGTGCGTGCCAAAGTATAATTTCAGTATTTTTGAAAAGAAATAAATTGAATATTCTGTGCAGAAAAAATTGAAACGTACCCCTTCAGCGAATTCCGGTAAACGAATGAGTGACTTAGAAACTTGGTCAGTACAAATTTGTAATTTGACATTCAAAATCACCAGACATATTGATCTACCATTTAAATTGCATTTTTGGTTCTGCTAGCATCTGCTAGCTGTACACAGTTTTCTTGGAATCTACTGGTGATTCGGTTAAAACTTACCCAATGATATAACTTTAAAGGATTTTAATGCAAGTATCGAGAATTTTTTATCTGAAACAATTTTTTTATCAGGAATAATGTATTCCAATGTCATGTTATTTTAGTTGCAGCTTTAATTAAATATATTTAAAAAAATAATAACCCTATTGCGTTGGGGAGAAAAACCATCAAAACTCATTATTGCGTGTATAATGCGCACCCCCTTCTACACAGCTGTGTTTTTTTGAAAAAAAGTGTGCACTATACTCAAGAAAATACAGTACCCTAATAAGTAACTACAGAGTCACAAAACTATAAATGAGTCTTTAACCAATGAAGTGAATCGGTAATGTGGTAAAAGTCTCACGAGAAGCTATTGACGGGTATATCTAAGTCCACAGGGTTACTGGGATACAGAAGTATAAGGTGTGCCCACAACGACCCTATCAGCGTAACTCGTTAGTACCATCAGAAGTCCTCTCACCATGCCGAACCATCTTACCATCTGGGCCTTGTTCCCCAAAGCGATCTTAGTGCTACAATGATCGTAAGCCTATGTTGAAGTATGGGACTTACGATCACCTTAGCGCTAAGATTGCTTTGAGGAACGGGGCCCAGGAGACCTCTTACCATCATAAAACCTCATACTGTCAGGAGACCCAGTGCATACCATCTTGAGAGTCCCATGATGGCCATTTCTTCAGTGTTTCAGTTGCATGAATTTTTATTCTTTTTCGCTTCTTTCCAGTTCGTCTACACATTGCTCACTTGCTGGAGGTACAGGGGAAGGTGAATCAGGCGAAGGAGTCCTACGAACAGTTCGCACAGCTTGAGGACATCAAGAGCACTGTGAAAGCCACAGCGTTAAGACAGCTAGGTAGGTCTTGAAAATGGTTCATAGTCCAGCTATTATGCACATGCCAGGGTTTTACCTAGACGCACTCAGAGGCCAATATTTGGCCCAAAGTCTGCAACAAATTATAGTAAAAAATCCCACTTTGAATTATAACTTTCCCAATTCCTCAGAATTCATGAAAATTAGGGCATTTTATAATCAAATTTTGAACAATATCCCAGTTTTGTCCTAATTTGCTTGCCAAGGGAACTTAGTTTAGAATTATAGTAAAAATCCCACTTTGGACTAAAACTTTCCCAATTCCTCAGAATTCATGAAAATTAGGACATTTATATAATCAAATTTTAAACAATATTCCAGTTTTGTCCTAATTTGCTTGCCAAGGGAACTTAGTTTAGAATTATAGTAAAAATCCCACTTTGGACTAAAACTTTCCCAATTCCTCAGAATTCATGAAAATTAGGACATTTTATAATCAAATTTTGAACAATATTCCAGTTTTGTCCTGATTTGCTTGCCAAGGGAACTCAGTTTAGAATTATAGTAAAAATCCCACTTTGGACTAAAACTTTCCCAATTCCTCAGAATTCATGAAAATTAGGACATTTTATAATCAAATTTTGAACAATATTCCAGTTTTGTCCTAATTTGCTTGCCAAGGGAACTCAGTTTAGAATTATAGTAAAAATCCCACTTTGGACTAAAACTTTCCCAATTCCTCAGAATTCATGAAAATTAGGACATTTTATAATCAAATTTTGAACAATATTCCAGTTTTGTCCTAATTTGCTTGCCAAGGGAACTCAGTTTAGAATTATAGTAAAAATCCCACTTTGGACTAAAACTTTCCCAATTCCTCAGAATTCATGAAAATTAGGACATTTTATAATCAAATTTTGAACAATATTCCAGTTTTGTCCTAATTTGCTTGCCAAGGGAACTCAGTTTAGAATTATAGTAAAAATCCCACTTTGGACTAAAACTTTCCCAATTCCTCAGAATTCATGAAAATTAGGACATTTTATAATCAAATTTTGAACAATATTCCAGTTTTGTCCTAATTTGCTTGCCAAGGGAACTCAGTTTAGAATCCTAGATAATCCATGGATGTCCTCTAGGGATCACTTATTCTTCATGACAGGCTTCATTTGAACTGGCTGTTCCATTGGTCTGTTGGTCAGAGTGATTGATAAGGTTGGTGAAACTCTGACAGAATAAGTACATGATTAAATGCCATGATAGTCTCCCTGTTTGCAAATGGTTTTCCTGCACCAGACAATGAATTAACACTGGATACCATGTCCACCTGTAGTAAGAGCTGCTGATCATAATTACCTTGTTTGACAGTTTATTATCTACCAGGGAAGACCCCAGGTATTGATCGTAATTACCTTGTTTGACAGTTTATTATCTACCAGGGAAGACCCCAGGTATTGATCGTAATTACCTTGTTTGACTGTTTATTATCTACCAGGGAAGACCCCAGCTGTTGATCATAATTACCTGTTTGATTGTTCATTATCTACCAGGGACATTGATCATCATTACCTTGTTTGACTGTTTATTATCGACCACGGACTAACCTACCCCAGCCATGATCAGATTTACCTGTTTGATTGTTCATTATCTACCAGGGACGACCCGAGCTATTAATCATAATTACCTTGTTTGACTGTTTATTATCTACCACGGACTAACCCACCCCAGCTATTGATCATAGTTACCTGTTTGATTGTTCATTATCTACCAGGGACGACCCCAGCTATTTATCATAATTACCTTGTTTGACTGTTACTATCTACCAGGGATGACCCCAACTATTGATCATAATTACCTGTTTGACTGTTTATTATCTACCAGGGACTAACCCGCCCCAGCTATTGATCATCATTACCTTGTCAAACTGTTTATGATCTACCAGGGACGACCCCAGCTATTGATCATAATTACCTGTTTGACAGTTTATTATACTTCAGGGAAGGCCCCCACTTCAGGTATTGATCAGCTTTGCAGGGGCTTGAAATAGCCTTAAATTTGAGTCTACCTTGAAAAGGCCTTAAGTTTGATGGCTGTAGTGTGATCATGTTCAAATGGCTTGGAGGGATGATCATTGCCTATGTGATAGTTTTGGTGTAAAATCACATTAGCCTAATGCATTTGCCAAACAGTTTAAGAAGTGAAGCGATATCTTGATATCTCTCAAGTTTCATCATCAATGTCAGAAACTTTTTGATCATCCAAACATATCCTATAAGGGAACTCAATTTCACAGGACAGTGAACAAACATCATCAGTGTAATCTCTGAAATGATAGTGTTTATTTTTACTGAAAAGTTACCAAGTTTTATGTAAGACCTTCAGGGAGGTTTAAGTCTGGACATTCACTTAATATGATTGATTTGACACTTATGTTCTGGATAGTAAAGATTGATATTGTAGTTAGTTGTGAGTTTTGTTACATTTTATTTAATCATATTTCTGGGAAAATTAAATTTATTGAAATATTAAACTGGCAAGGTCCTAAATATGCACCAAGAAATCTTAATGATATGATTTTTCTGATGAAGTGAGCATTGTAATACAATATGTCACTGCTTTTTCCCACGATTATGAATGTTGATGGCAGATTTAGGAAGGGCTACATTTTGTGTATACCTTGAAAACACATCAGGCGAGGACAAACATACTTCTTCCATACTGAAACTTTAATCTCCTTCATGCCTAGAAAAATAATGCACTTTCCATTTTAACGTGTTGTACAATATTCTGTTTCCTTCTTCCCTCTTTGAAGTTCCCTTCTCCTGTTGTAGATAGGGAGACCCGTGAAGATCCTGGGTACAATAGGTCTTCAGCAACCCATGCTTGTCGTAAAAGGCGACTATGCTTGTTGTACGAGGCGACCAAAGGGATCGGGTGGTCAGGCTCACTGACTTAGTTGATGCATGTCATCGATCCCAATTGTGTGGATCGATGCTCGTGATATCAATCACTGGATTGTCTGGTCCAGACTTGATTATTTGAAGACTGCTGTCATGTAGCTGGAATATTGCTGAGTGCAGCGTTAAATAACAAACAAATTGTAGATAGGGAGAGTTCTCATGTTTGTCATTGTTTCCCAGTGGTGATGGCATTAAGTTCGTCAGAGATGTTGTTTAAGGTACCAGTAATTGCATTTACTTTTTGAATATATATTCACAGAGGCAAGTGAATATCCATGCAGGCTCATTATTTTACATAAACTTCCATTCCCAAATGAGCCCAGGACATGTTATATATGATGATGTCTTCTGCTTGTTTTCAACAGGAAAGCGAAAATCTTTCACTTTTGTTTCAGAAAGTATGATCAAAATTATGTTTGTCATGTCGTTTATCGTGAAAAATATGTCAGAAAACTTTTCAAGAAACCTCAGTATTACCTTTTTGTTATCGCCAGGTTTTTAGCCAAGGTCAAGCTTGAAATGATCGAAATGATACTGCTTGTGTGACAAATAACTCACTATGGGTATGGCTGCAGCCTTTAGATGATTACAAAGATAGTGTGTTAGCACAGACTGTTTTTGCAAGTTCTCAGTTTTAGGGGTTGTGTCAAAAGTCAAGGTGTTACTTTCTGTCCTTATCTGACAAAACAATGTTTTGTTGTTTTCTTCTCCCATTGGTAATCAAGGACAACATGTGTTTTGGAGGGTCTTGTCTGACAAAGATGTATTATCTTTATCACACTTGAATAGATAATTATCATAATTACTTTGTGACAAGGACTTAATTTTGCACAAGACAGTGACTTTTTGTGTCTGGAAGGTTGGAAATTATCTTAAGTGAGGAAGAGAGGAATTTAAATATTTTTTTAGATCAATATACTTATTTGAAAACTGACATTACATTATCAACAACAGCTCTGGGTACAGCTTACAATGACATGTGTCGAGTTTCTTCGTAAAATCTCATTCTCTCTCGCTCTCTCTCTCTCTCTCTCTCTCTCTCTCTCTCTCTCTCTCTCTCTCTCTCTCTCTCTCTCATTCACTCTCACTCACTCACTCACTCACTCACTCAGCTGGGGACAGATATGCTCTACATGTGGTAGAATGGACTTGTTTAGATGTGGGATGTCTCTCCTGTTGTTATGAACAATAATAATATACCAATGAGCCTTTTAGATTTGGCGATATTTCATTTCCACACCATCACTGCATCAATCCCCATTCACAAGTATGACAGTCCAGGGCACCTGTTCCTATAAACCAATAACCGCCTCCATTGTCTAGTGGTAAAGCGTCCGCCCGGAGAGCGGAAGGTCCGGGGTTCGATCCCCGGCCGCATCATACCAAAAGATGTTAAAAGATGGTACTTGTTGTTACCCTGTCTGGCGCTCGGCATTAAGGGGCTAAAACAAGGACTGGTCAGCACGGAGTCAGTATACTGTGTCTGAGTGGGGTATTCATGTTAAACTGCGGCATGGTATCTCAGTGGGGTAGCACTATAAATCGGCATCAGTCCGGACTAGTACAAGCAGCCACACGAACACACACACATACATGCACGTCGCTATATAAGTGCAATAATCTTGAATGCGACGTTAAATCCCATTTCACCTCACCTATAAACCAATAGATTAAACCAGAAGCAATGGAGGGCACTTGCTGCATTCATTTGTGACTGACTGGTTTCTGATGACACAACTTCCTCTATTTTATCAGTGTTATGAGACTTCCTCCCACTGAGTAAGCTGTTAGGAAGAACTGACTTGATACAGGTAAAAAATATCACATGAATAAATATTAACTCAGTTTAATCAATAATGCAATATTCTTTTTTCAGTGTTGTTCAGTCCTGGGTATTTTATTACGTTGGCCATTGTAATCCTTTGGTAGACAAAAGACTTAGCTCCGGCTGGAAGTGCCAGTGCGATATCACTTCCTGCTTGAGGTCGGCCTGGTCTTAAGCTAGATAAACATGTTTCTCCTGCCAACGTAATAAGCATGTACTGGTTCAGACAGGCAAGGGATTGTCAGTGTCATGTCAAC